TTTTTATATTGTTCTTCCCTCTTTCTGGAGTGTTCTTTCCCCAGGTACCTTCCCTACTTGGCCCACTGATCTCCTGCTCTCATGGCAATCCCTACGCTATTTACCTATTTCATATCATTCATATATTTGATATGGTTTATTAAATTTGTGTTACCCATCTGCTTTATCACTTTTGTAAATTTCATGAGAGCAAGATTTTTATGATGTATTCCAGATGCCTAGAACAGTGCTTAGCACTTTTCCACATTTCTTTCCTAGACCTATAGTTACTGAATACTAAAAGATCTTTGTTTCATGGAAAGCACCTGATTTTCGCAACATGAAAAATATAGCCATTCTCAATGCTTTTCCTAGAAAAGTATCATCCTATCTGTTTTCATCTTGGTACCTCTAAGTGTAATAGAATAATACATGGGAGTAAATTATTATTAAAATGGCCTTATTTTAAAAGTAAATTATTGTAAAACACTTCTTTTTAAACAGTTCTGTCCCATAGATTATTAGTAGGAAGCTGCTTATAAATATGGCCATTTATTCTTTTAATGTAAATAAACCTGAACAGGTAGTGGTGTATTGTTCTTTTTAATATAGCTAGATTTACTTTATTAACACTGTATTTGGTTTAGGATTTTTCTTTTTCTTTTATTTGAGATAGAGTGTCACTATGTCGCCCTCGGTAGAGAGCCATGGCATCACAGCCCACAGCAACCTCAAACTCTTAGGTTTAAGCAAGTCTCTTGCTTCAGCTTCCCAAGTAGCTGGGACTGCAGGTGCCTGCCACATCGCCTGGCTATTTTTTTGTTGTTGACATTGTTGTTTAGCAGGCCCTGGTAGGGTTCGAACCCGTCAGCTCCATTGTATGTGGCTGGAGCCCTAACCACTGAGCTACAGGTACCAAGCCTGGTTTAGGATTTTTCTTCTCTTTCTTCTCTTTTTTTTGAGACAGAGCCTCAAGCTGTCCCCCTGGGTAGAGTGCTGTGGCATCACAGCTCACAGCAACCTCCAACTCCTGGGCTCAAGTGAGCGTCTTGCCTCAGCCTCCCAAGTAGCTGGCACCACAGGTGCCCTCCACAACTCCCGGCTATTTTTTGGTTGCAGCCATCGTTTGGCGGGCCCTGGCTGGATTTGAACCCTCCACCTTAGGTGTATGTGGCTAGCGCCTTAGCCACTTGAGCCACAGGCACCGAGCTGGTTTGGGATTTTTTATTTAGATTCGTGAATGATATTGGCCTATAAACTTTTCTCCTAATGTCCTTGTCAGGTTTGGTATTTATGAGGCTCCATGTAATGAATTGTAGAATGATCATTTTTTATTTTCTGGAAGACTTTATGTAAGATTAGCTTTATTTTTTCTATAGATGTTTACTAGAATTCGCTAAGGGAAGCTGTCTGTGCTCATTTCAGTCAATTTCTTTAACAGATATAGGGCTAATTTTTTTTTTTTTTTTTTTTTTTTTGAGACAGAGCCTCAAGCTATCCCCCTGGGTAGAGTGCCATGGCATCACAGCTCATAGCAACCTCTAACTCCTGGGCTCAAGCAAGTCTTCTGCCTCAGCCTCCCGAGTAGCTGGGACCACAGGCGCCCGCCACAACACCGGGCTATTTTTTGGTTGCAGCCATCATTGTTTGGCAGGCCCTGGCTGGATTTGAACCCGCCACCTTAGGTGTATGTGGCTGGCACCTTAGCCACTTGAGCTACAGGCGCCGAGCCAGGGCTATTTATATTTCTCATTTCATATGCCATTTTAATAAGTCATCTTTTTCCCTAGGAATTTATCCAGTTTCCTAAAATTTCAGATGTTTTGACATAAATGGTCACCTTAACATCTGCAAGATTTGTAGAGATGCACATTTTTTTTTATTCCTGATACTGAATATGTGGTTACTCTTTTCATCAGGTTCACCAATATTGATTTTCTTGATTTTTTTCCAAAAAATGTTTTTAGTTTTGTTGATTTCATGTCATTAATTTCTATTCACATTTTTGTTTTCAAAATTTTGGGGTTTAATTTGTTCTTTTTTTCTTTGAGACACAGTCTTATTCTAATGCCCAGGCTTGAATACTGTGGTGTCAGCCTAGCTCACAGCAACCTCAAACTCTTTGGTTCAAGTGATCTTCCTGCTTCAGCCTTCCGAATAACTGGGACTACAGACACTGCTACAATGCCTGGCTAATTTTTCTAGTTTTAGTAGAGACAGAATCTCATTCTTGCTCAGGCTGCTATCTCCTGGCTTCAAGTGATCCTCATGCCTTGGCCTCCCAGAGTTCTAGGAATACAGGCATAAGCTACCATACATACCCAGCCAATTTATTTTTTTTTTTCTAGCTTCTTAAAATGGGTGTTTAGTTTTAATACTGTAATATGTATTTAAGGTCATAAATTTCTCATAGCTCTAGCTGTGTCCTGCAAGTTTTAATATGTGGTATTTTTGCAGTCAGGTGATATTGTGTTTCCCATTGTAATTTCTTTGATTCATGCATTAAAGTACATTTATTAATTCCTACACATAGAGGATTTTCTAGTTAAATTATTTCTAGCTTAATTGCATTGCAGTACAGAGCATGTTTTGCGTAATTTGAATTCAGGATTTACTGACATTTTCTCTATAGCTCAGCAAGTTGTCAGCTTTTATAAATATCCTGTTTGAAAAGAATGTGAATTCTACAGCTGTTGGGTGTAATGTTATATATATGTCATTTGGGTTGAGTTTGTTAATGTCATTCAAATTTTCTTTGTCTTGATGTGTCTGCTAGTTCTAATAGTCCTTCCCCCTCCCCCCATGACTAAAGCATTTCTTTGGCTCTATTAGTTAATGTGTGCTAGTCTCCCACTGGATGGATTTATCTCTTTAATTGTAGGAGGGACAATGATAGATGCAGAAGTGTAAGGTCAAAAAAGCAGGGAAATCTTTTAGCTAAAATTAGGAAATAAAATAACATCTGGAAAAGCACAACAGGCTCAGCGACCATAGCTCAGTTGTTAGGGTGCCAGCCACATACACTGGAGCTGGCAGGTTTGAACCTGGCCCGGGCCCAAATAACAAGGACGACAACAACAACAACAAAATAGCCAGGCATTGCGTCAGGCGCCTTTGGGCCCAGTTGTTTGAGAGGCTGAGGCAAGAGACTTGCTTAAGCCCGAGAGTTTGAGGTTGCTATGAGCTGTGGTACCTTGGCACTCTACTGAGGGTGACATAGTGACTCTGTCTCAAAAAATAAAGCAAAGCACAACAGATGATAAGGATGCCGTATCTTTAGTAGGAGAGTGAACCTTCTTCTGGCAACATGGAGAAGGGAAGAGGTGGTGGAATTGAGGAGTAAGCTTAGAAGCAGAGAGTCAGAAATTCTGTTCTTTTTATTGTAGCATCAGTGATACAGTACATGTAGGACTGAGGGTAGCAATCAGAGGTTAAAACTGTGTTATTTGTTTTAGCGCTGCTGGGACATTGCCTTGGGCCCTCTCAAACAGATTCCCATGAACCTTTTCATCATGTACATGGCAGGCAATACTATCTCCATCTTCCCTACTATGATGGTGTGTATGATGGCCTGGCGACCCATTCAGGCCCTAATGGCCATTTCAGCCAGTAAGTATTCTTGAAATAATAACCCTTCCCTAAGTTTTAAGAATTAAAGGCAAAGGCTTAGGCACCGTTTTTGGCTAGAGGGTGTGTAGGGGGAGGTGATAGTGGTGACATGGAGGGGAAAACAGTACTTACGGTTTTCTGTTTGCCTTTAGTGGTCCTATTTGCAATCTTACTATGGGTCTCATAGTTTATTTTTGTTTTAACAACTTCTGTTAACCCAACAGCTTTCAAAATGTTAGAAAGTTCAAGCCAGAAGTTTCTTCAGGGTTTGGTTTATCTTATCGGGAACCTGATGGGTTTGGCTTTGGCTGTTTACAAGTGCCAGTCCATGGGACTCTTGCCTACACATGCATCAGACTGGTTAGCCTTCATTGAGCCTCCTGAGGTAAGGCATAAAAAAAGTTGCATTGGGGGCAGTATAATGTACAGTGAATAGCTGACCTGCTTGGTGGCGGTTAGTTAATAGGAGTTGGTATTACGGTGGTACCCGTAGCTCAGTGGGTAGGGTGATGGCCACATACACCCAGGCTGGTGGGTTTGAACCCACCCAGACCTGCTAAACGATGACAACTGCAACAACAAAAAAAATAGCTGGGTGTTGTGGTGGGTGCCTGTAGTCCCAGCTACTTGGGAAGCTGAGGCAAGAGAATTGCTTAAACCCAAGAGTTTGAGGTTGCTGTGAGCTGTGATGCCGTGGCACTCTACCCTGGGTGACAGCTTGAGACTCTGACTCAAAAAAAAAAAAAAAAAAAAAAAAAATTAAAATAGTTGGTATTAGAGGGCCAGGCACAGTGGTTCATGCCTGTAATCCTAGCACTCTGGGAGGTCAAGGCAAGTGGATTGCTTGAGCTCAGGAGTTTGAGACCAGCTTGAGCAAAAAAAAGCAAGACCCTGTCTCTACTAAAAATAGAAAAACTGAAGCAAGAGGATCACTTGAGCCCAAGAGCTGGAGGTTGTTGTGAGCTATGATGCCATGGCACTGTACCCAGGGGGACAGCTTGAGACTGTCTCCAAAAAAAAAAAAAAAAAGAGTTGGTATTAGTTTGTCTGTTAAGAAAGAAGAGCCATTAGGAGTTTGGAAGTTATTTTTAGGGATAAGGCAAAATAGATCTTGTGATTAGAGAGTTAAGTAATTGATTCAGGAAGTTGTTTTAACATCCACTCCCTTTTTCTTCTTTCAGAGAATGGAGTTCAGTGGTGGAGGACTGCTTTTATGAAGCTGAGAAAGAAGCACCCGGTGCCTATGTATTAGGGTCTTATTTATATCCCCCCTTACGCCCCGTGGCTCCTCAACATACTTCATGTTGAAAAAAACCAAAAGGCTCTCTGTGCTCCATAGTGAGGAGACAGATCCTAGAGGGACAACGTACACATTACTACAAACACAAATAAACTATACCACAACCTGTGACTGAAAATAATGTAGAAAACTTTATTTATGTTTCCAGTACAGAGCAAAACAACAAATAAAACCGTAACTCTATGTAAACAAAAGAATAGTGGCTGCTAAATCAAGAACTATAGCAGCATCTCCTTTCAATAAATTAAATGGTTGAGAATAATGCTTTAAAAAAAAGTTGCACAAGTTTCCCTTAAGTCTACTTTCCTTAATATTTCACTTCTATTTAATATAAGCTGGGACATAAAAATTCCATTGGAGACACTTGTGGAAGATGTGAGAAACTAATGCTGGATTTAAATTTTACATGATGAAGAGAAAAATAAACCAGACAAAAAGAGCACATAAATACGCTTACAGTGTAAATGTTATTTTAATACCCACAATAAAGGGTTTTTAACATGTTTGGGGGAATGAGGATTGGTGGGATCCTTGGGGCCACAGGAATCTGAGGCAAAGTTAGTTACATAGTGATCCTTCCTCTGCCAAGAGGAACCTGGCACCTGTCAAGCAGGTGCTACAGTTCAAATTTCAGCTTTTAAGGTAACTATGGAAGGCAGAGGGCCCATAGTTGGAGAATGTATATTATTATAACCTGCCCTGGTAAAGTCATATGTAAGATTTAAAAGCTCAATCTTACTCAAAAGGCAGGAGGAGGTCTTTCTTTTCTTTTCCCTCTCGAAACAAAGCCCCTTCCCCTAAGGTGCATTCTCTTTTATCAAGTTTTCAGTATTGCTTTATTTGCAGTGATTAAAAGAGACGAGACACTTTGGAAATAACATAAGCAACACACGTAGACATGAAATGTTCTAGACAGAGATATAAATCTTGCCTAATTTTTCCATGTAACAGTAATTTTGTGTTTTAGGGACTGAATTAGTCTCTTTAAAAGATTTTTACAAAGTTCCAACCACAAACAGCACTTCTAAAACTAACCTTGTTTTCTGTCTGTATTTGTTCCATATAGAAAAAATACATCATTTTGGCCAGAGGTGTGTTCCACGTGTCAGGGAATTCTGGGCATGCTCACTTTTATACTGGGGGGTTTTTAAGATGTTAGGTCCTACAAGACCTGACCCACCATGGGTGTACTCAACTAAGCAATGGAGTGTTGCAGTGGGAGTTGTAAACAATGCTTCTACCTGTTACAGAAAGGAGGAGAAAAAAAGACAAGATCCCATCTTCTTTACCACCCTGAGTGGGCTTGGAGATTGATGTTAACAAAGGGAGCAAATCAAAATGACTCAATTTCTTAAGCCAAATAGAAAGGTTTTCTTCTCTGTCCTTACAGGTCAAATGAAGAGTTTGTGGCACTTAGGTCAGCTTGTTCCTTATCCTTTTAGGGAATTCAAGAAGGACTGCACTATTTGTCATAAGTGAAATTCAAAACCAACTGTGAATATATGCAAGAGGACAGTTTCTCTAAATACTTATCCTGTAAAAGAAATGAATATTTCACGAACTTGAAATTACTACACAGCCACACAGTATTTTCCTTATGCTTGTAAGCCAGATGTTTTGTGATCTGTAAATTAGTAAATAAGCTAAGCTTGCAAAAGGATTTCCTTGGCACATTTTGAGCTTTCTGGAAACAACATCAATATAATGGAAGACCGTTCAGAGCCAAGTTTTTGCAGTCCGAATGAAGAATAAAATTGAAAGGAAAAGGGGAAATGATCAGACTTTGGGCATTGAGTGCCTCGTCTTAACTATGGCTTTGGAGATGAGGCCACAGGTTTCTTAGTAAAGGAGAAGTTTCTTGAATCAGGCCAATACTAATCTATATGCCACTTTAGTAAAGTAGGTAGGGAGTAGCAGCTCGATAACTTTGGCACTATGGAGAAGAGTATGGCTCTAGAACTTTCAATTCCATTGCTAGATTCCCCTTTTAAAAGATAGTCCAAAGCCTTCAGGGAAGGATTTTGTCCAGTCTTGCTACTGTTTGTTCTTTATGAACTTTTGACCTGTACCTCCGAACTCAGAGGGCAAAAAGAAGGAAAGGAGAACTTACAGTCAATGTGCATCATGACCTATATTTCTTAGATAACAGTTTGTATGTTTTGTCCATGTTGCATAGAGAACCAAAGACTGTATTTCAGTATATCTTAATAGCTTCCTTTTGAAATTCCCTTAGTTCAGCCATTTTGAAAAGAACCTGAAAGAAATGTCAACCTTTTAAAAAACAATTTCCATGGTAACATAGGCTGTGTTACAACCACAGAATGGATTTTGAATTAAGAGAAATAAAAAACAGGTGAAGTACACACTGACATAATATAGATACTTAAACCTGGTATGGGGAGGGGGGGGGACTCTTGCTTTTGAGGAAGATATAAAGGCTGCAGCCATGTTTCAGGTTTTGTACATTAGTACCCTAATATAAAATTAGAGGACAGCAGTGGGTATGATAAAGAAAATTCGCTAAAAAAAATGTTTCCATCTTGGCTTGCCCCAGGTTATCTCCAAAAGATAGCAGGTCCCCATATTCTTTGCCACGATTTAGTAAGTTGAAGCTGTGTTTCTGGCTGTTACCTCTATGATGTCATCATGGAACCATGACTTCTGAGACTCCTCTTCAATGTTGGATATATACTTGCTTTTTGTCGTCAGTTGAATTTCAAGCATCCCTTTTACCAATTCATTGATTGGCTCAGCTCGTTAATTCTAACTTGCCTTTGGTGAAACATGGCTTTTAGGGCTTGATCACTGTTATGATGTTGCAGGAATACCTGCTTCTTTAAGAAATGCACATCATATGGGATCAAAGAATAGATCTATTTGTACCCTTGCATGAGTACTTGAAGCTCAGCCAATCAAGATTTCAGTGTGATGTGTGTAGAACACAGGCCTTTAGCTGACTGGGAGCGGTAGTGAAGAGCTGGCATTTCCATGGAGGATGGAGGCCTTTCAGGAAAGGTGAGGCCAAGCAGAGTCATTCAGGAGTAGATTATGAATAAATGGTGATCACTTCGCTGCCTCCACCCCGGACAAGGAGGACTCGTTCTAGTCCCTCAGTGAGCACTTCTAGGAACTCCATGTCTTCAGAATTTGTCAAGGAAACGAACAGACAAAAGAAGAATACACATTTACAACCTGGCATCATCATAACCTGAGTTTATCTGATCACAGAGCTATAAAATCAGCATGCTTGTCTTAATTCTTATACATTCAAAAGTCTGAACTTTGGACTCAATTTAACCCTGTGAAGTAATCCAGGGATCTAGTCCTTTTAAATGTATAATACAAGACTCTCCCATTTGTTAGGTATTTTCTAAATGTTCTTTAAAGAATGGGGAAAGGCTGGGCCTGGTGGTTCACACTTGTAATACCAACTTTGGGAAGCTAGGGTGGGAGGATTATTTGAGACCAGCCTGAACAACATAGTGAGACCCTCTCTCCACCAAAAGAAAAAAAAAGTCACTCACATGTAGTCCCAGATATTTGGGAGGTTGAGGCAGGAGGATCACTTGAGCCTAGGAATTTGAGGCTTTAGTGAACTATGATCATGCCACTCTAACCTCTGTGACAGAGACCCCATCACCAAAAAAAAAAAAAAACAAACAAAAAACCCCACAAAACAACAAAGGTGAGGGAGAAGTGTGCGTGTGTGTGTGTGCGCGTGTGCGTGTATAAGGGGGACTAGGTCTTCTTATGTTGCCCAGGCTGCTCTTGATCCTCCTGCCTTGGCCTTCCAAAGTGCTAGGATTACAGGTGTTAACCACTGCCCCCTCCCGGCCTTATCTTGTCTTTTTATTACACTTTTTTTTTTTTTTTTTGAGACAGAGCCTCAAGCTGTTACCCTGGGTAGAGTGCCATGGCGTCACAGCTCACAGCAACTTCCAACTCCTGGGCTCAAGCGAGTCTCCTGCCTCCACCTCCCAAGTAGGTGGGATTACAGGTGCCTGCCACAACACCTGGCTATTTTTTGGTTGCAGCCATCTTTGTTGTTTGGCAGGCCCAGGCTGGATTCGAACCTGCCAGCTCAGGTGTATGTGGCTGGCGCCTTAGCCGTTTCAGCCACAGGCACCGAGCCTTTCTTACGCTTTTGTTTTGAAATAATTTTTTTTTGTTTTGAAATAATTACAGATTCACAGGAAATTGCAAATCAAGTACAAAGATGTCCTATATGCCTGTCACCTAGTTTCCCCTAATGTTTATATCTCATGTACAGTATTAGAACCAGAAAAATGACAATGATAAATGAGTTTATATAATAAACTGTCACTGTGGCACATGTGTAGATCCATGTCAAGATTCAGAACTGGCTTGGCGTCTGTGGCTCAAGTGGCTAAGGCACCAGCCACATACACCCAAGGTGGCAGGTTTGAATCCAGCCCGGGCTGCCAAAACAACAATGATGGCTGCAACCAAAAAATAGCCGGGTGTTCTGGCGGGCGCCTATGGTCCCAGCTACTTGGGAGGCTGAGGGAGGAGACTCGCTTGAGCCCAGGAGTTGGAGGTTGCTGTGAGCTTTGATGCCACAGCGCTCTACCCAGGGGGACAGCTTGAGGCTCTGTCTCAAAAAAATAAAAGATTCAGAACTATTCCATCACCACAAAGATCTCCCTCCTCCTACTTCTTTATTGCTACTATCATACACTGAATATTAGAAATCATGTTACATGGCTCAGTGCCAATGGCTCAACTGGCTAAGGCGCCAGCCACATACACCTGAGCTGGCGGGTTCGAATCCAGCCTGGACCCGCCAAACAACAATGACGGCTGCAACCAATAAATAGCCGGGTGTCATGGTAGGCGCCTGTAGTCCCAGCTACTTGGGAGGTGGAGGCAGGATAATCACTTGAGCCCAGGAGTTGGAGGCTGCTGTGAGCTGTGATGCCACGGTTCTCTACCCAAGGCGACAGCTTGAGGCTCTGTCTCAAAAAACAAAACCAAAAAACAAAAAAACCAGAAATCATGTTACAAAATACCACCTATGTAAAAAAGTCTTTTGAGGTTCAGAGAGAATATATTACATCCTTAACTCCCCCCAGTATATTAATCTCACCACTTTGTAAGCAGCCTTGCCTAAGACCTTTAAGTTTTTCTTCTTCAAAGATGGAAACCTGGGTAGAGATGAAGACTTTTTTTTAAAGTGACAGGGTTTCACTCTGTCACCAAGGCTGGAACTCCTGGGTTTAAGTGATCCTTCCTGCCTCAGCCTTCTGAGTAGCTATGAGTACAGGTATGTACCATAGCTGGCACCATACCTGGATAATTTTTAAATTGTTTGTAGAGATGGGGTCTTACTATGTTGCCCATGCTGGTTTTGAACTTCTGGCCTCAAGTAATCCTCCTGTGTTGGCCTCCCAAAGTGCTGGGATTATAGGTGTGAGCCACTATACTTGGCCAGACAATGGTTTTTATAGTTATCTAAGAAAGAAGCTAAGAAGGTTTTCTAGACTGGCAGAGCCACTCTTCAAAAGGATACAGTTTTCATCACCCTCAGGGTTTCGGGGTGGCCCTGGCATATTCAACAAAACCAGCTTTGCTTCATGAGACTTGTTAACTATAACCTCATTAAGCTTCACTGCTGTGTGCATCCGCCTCACATTGGAGTGGTCCCTGGGTGGGGAAGAAACAGAGGTAGTTAAGGCAAAGAGAAAACTAGTTACATAGTCAACATTTAAAATTTGAGATCCAGAGCTTTTTCACCTGATCATGGATAATGTGATAAAATTATTTGTTTATCTTAAGTTTTCTCTTTCTACCCTTGCTTATTGTATACCAGGAACACAGTGTGGAGGTGAACTATGTGGAGAGAAAGGATGGTTAGTTTGTTAATAGCAAATATGCACAGGCAAACAATAAAAAGATGCGTGCCCTGTATGTCCAGGCAAAACCACATCTGTGCCATTGACTAGGTTATTAGATTTTGTCATATGATTGTAAGTGAGAAAACTTACGGACGCATGTTAAGCAGGTCTTGGAATCCTTCCATTGACTTGGCTTTTTGCCCCCGGGTTGCCATGTACTTGTCTTTTGTCCAAGTCATGTGTACCTTCTCCTGATAAGTTTCTGTCTCTTCATCCTCATCAGAGCCAATGCTGGTCAATCTTAGCATGGAGTTCCGGTCTTTCACCAACTGTGCCTGCGGAAAGTCCAACAAAGTTATTCTACTTCATTTTCTCTCATACTCCATCTTTATTTTCAAAAAATGGGCTATAGTGGAATAACTGTGAGAAGGAAAGAATTTGTTACCCCATGAAAACAATATAGTACTGGCATTTTTTCTTTTAAGACAGTCTCAAGCAGTCGCCCGGGTAGACTGCTGTGGCATTACAGCTCACAGCAACCTCAAACTCTTGGGCTCAAGCGATTCTCTTGCCTCAGCCTCCCAAGGAGCTGGGACTACAGGCACCCACCACAACGCTTGGCTATTTTGTTGTTGTTGCAGTAATCATTGTTGTTTGGCAGGCTGGGTTCAAAACTGCCAGCTCTGGTGAGCTGAGCTATAGGCACTGAGCCTATAGTACCGTCACTTTCACTGAAGACATCACAGGGCCAGGATTAGATCGATGTGGCAAGGTCTCACCTCTCTGTCCCGCTCTGTTTTGGATAGCCGCATGTGTCGGAGCATCTGGGACCTTTGCTCCATCATCAGAGTGCGCTCGTAAGTATAAGCTGATATGTCACTGTCATGCTAACACAAATATCACACAAAAAGGGTAAAAAGCACAAAGAAAGAAAGATGAACCACACATGTTTATTTCTACTCACTAAATTAAGCCACAGAAAGTGTCACAATATCAACTTGAGTTTTAACTCTATTTTGGTGAGTCTTTGACCTACACATCTTTCCTCCTGATTGCAAATAAAATCTAGAGGCCCTGAGAGTCTTTTCCATTATCTAGCACATTTGCTTCTTTAAAATACAAAACACAAACAATAATACCTGTTTTTTAAATATTGCTCAGTTATTTTAAAAGAAAGCCATATGTGATTTTAAGCATGAATATATTAATTAAAAATTAAGAAAACTATATTAAGTAGGTTAAGAATCTAGGAGAAATGTAAGGGATGTGTAATAAAACAAAAACAAGAAAGCAAAAACAAACACGAAAAACACATCACATACACGTTCTACTTAGGCCAGTGAATTAGGGTTTGGGGTTTTTTTTTTTGACACTAAGTGATTAATAAACATTCAGAAGTGAACAATTTCCTGTATCAGAACAGGTTCAAGGAAGATAGGGTGGGCAGAGAGGGGAGTAGTGGGGTCTTCTATCTTAAACTCAACTCTCTTACCATCTCCACCACTTCCACCTCCGCCTCAATCCGTAGGTGGTACAGGAAGGTGGCTAGGTCCTTCTTCATCTGGATACTGTTGTCTTCTAGCTGGGCTACTGTGAAGATACGTATACTGCACTTGCGCCACACCTGAGAGAGTGCATATGTGCATGGGAGAGTAGATTCAATAAGGCAAAAACAAGTTACGTCCTAAAACGTGAGGCATTATCGCCTAGAACAACCTTGCTGCAATGTGACTGACGGTACTTGTTCCTAGCTTCATACTTGCTATGTTACTGTACTAGAGCAGCGGTTCTCAACCGGTGGGCTGCAACCCCCTTGTAACAATGAAAATACATCCTGCATATCAGATATTTACATTAAGATTCATAATAGTAGCAAAATTACAGTTATGAAGTAGCAATGAAAATCATTTTATGGTTGGGGGTCACCACACATGAGGAACTGTATTCAAGGGTCACCACATTAGGAAGGTTGAGAACCACTGTATTAGAGCAAAAGACTGACTAAACAACCAATTAAGTACAGTTTTAGGGAGTTCTTAATTTCATAACAAGAAAAAACTGGCGAAAGGTAAAGACTTGTGATATAGTAAGAGGGTTGTTTATTCAGATAGTACTTTAATGATGTTATGTACACTATAATATTTCCTATTCTAAATTTCAGTTTACTCTTACCAAAGGATGAGCATCTATGTATGTAAATGCACACACACATACCCTGTTAGGGTTCTAGTATTTGATTTTTTTCCAAAGATGTTTTGCACTTCTTAGTCTTTTTCCCAAGGCTCATATGGAACTTTATTAATTTGCTTAATTTCACCTGGAGATAGGTAGGTATCAAATACACACACTATGATTTTTTTTCCTTTTTCTTTTTTTAGAGACAGAGTTACATTTTGTCACCCTTGGTAGAGTGCTGTGGCATCACAGCTCGCAGCAACCTCCAGCTCTTGGGCTTAGGTGATTCTCTTGCCTCAGCCTCCTGAGTAGCTAGGACTACAGGTGCCCACCACAACGCCCGGCTGTTTTTTTGTTGCAGTTTGGTCGGGGCTGGGTTTGAACCCACCACCCTTGGGTTCAACTGAGGGTGCCCTACTCACTGAGCCACAGGCGCCGCCCATATATGATGATTTCTTATAAAGGTGAAAGTGGGACAGCCAAGAATAGTCCCTAGTTTCAGATTCTAAGCCCCAACACTGCACGGTCAAAAAAGAAGCATCTGTCCAGTGAATCAAGACAGAAGGAAGAAAGGCTTTTTGAAAAAGTTGCCTAAGATACCTTGTGTTGTTTCAGTAGGAAGGGTAAGAGCATGAGCATCCCCCCATCATGCACAATCCACCACACATCAATGTTGCCCTCAGAAAACTGTTCCACATTGCTGGGAAAGAAGGAGACGTTTTTAGCCACTAGCAGGGCAAGATGGGCAGCAGTTGTCACTCGAACTGTGCCTAGGGAGAAAAAAGAAAGAATCAGAATGAGCAGAGAAGAATCCTTAGGCTTGTCTTGCTTTCTGCCATGCAATAAAGTAAGGGTAATGTTCTTTTTACACTTTTCTGAGCAAGGTGTCCTATTTACATAGTAAGTTATATCTCATTAAGTAATAAAAATTATTGAGAAAAATAGGATAGCTAACACAATTAGATTGAGAACCATGGTTTATGTTACTGGATGTATTCTTTTTTTTTTTTTTTTTGAGACAGAGCCTCAAGCTGTCCCCCTGAGTAGAGTGCTGTAGCATCACAGCTCACAGCAACCTCCAACGCCTGGGCTCAAGCGAGTCTCCTGCCTCCGCCTCCCAAGTAGCTGGGACCACAGGTGCCTGCCACAACACCTGGTTATTTTTTGGTTGTAGCCATCGTTGTTGTTTGGCAGGCCTGGGCTGGATTCGAACCCACCCCCTTAGGTGTATGTGGCTGGCGCCTTAGCCACTTGAGCCACAGGCACCGAGCCCTGGATGTATTCCGATTACTACTTTTCTAAGAGGGAAATACGTGAATTGAGAGAATTTTTTTTTTTTTTTTGCAGTTTTTGGCCGGGGCTGGGTTTGAACCTACCACCTCCAGCATATGGGACTGGTGCCCTATCCTTTTGAGCCACAGGCGCAGCCCGAATTGAGAGAATTTGATGTTGAAGAATAATTCTTCCAATTCCTGCGAGAACATCATATGGGAAATCACAAATGAAAACCTGGCAATTTTGGAGATGATTCCTAGCACAAGACTTGACAGGGATAAACAATTCATGAACATCATGTAAACGTGGAGGGGGGTGGTCAAATCCAGTTATTACTACTACTAGTTTTTTAGGTGGCCTTATAAGACTGTTTTAGCAATGGCATAGTCTCTTAGTTTAGGAGGCTAGAGGTAACAGATATATCCCTTATCTGGGTTCTTGGATTATTTACTGTACAGGAAAAGATTTGTACCAATAAATGTCTTCCAAGCGCGAGCATCTTCACTTTGGCGCCAGCCATTGGGCCAGCCCATCACCACGGTGTTGTGTTTCATGCCCCCAAGGCCACATGACTGGATGAGGTGGGAAATGCCCTCTTTCAGCTTGGCTGCCACCACCAGCTGGCAAAATCCTTTTACTTTTTCTGCCTCCATAAGGTGCTTTATAGTCTGCAAGAGACAGAGGACCTCAACACTGAATTGCTTTACCTTGGATATTTTAAACCATTATTCCTTCTCCATATTATATTCCCCTCCTCTTTCTTAATTCTGCCTAAGACTGGATCTCCTATGGAAAAGTCCAAAAAATTAAAACAATCCCAATGACATTTCATGATCCTTTGTCTTTTTCACTAAGTCCTTATTCTATATATATTTTTTTTGAGACAGAGCCTCAAGCTGTCCCCCTGGGTAGAGTGCCCTGGCATCAAAGTTCACAACCTCCAACTCCTGGGCTCAAGCGAGTCTCCTGCCTCAGCCTCCCAAGTATCTGGGACTGCAGGCACCTGCTACAACGTCTGGCTATTTTTTGGTTGCAGCCATCATTGTTGTTTGGCGGGACCAGGCTGGATTCGAACCCGCCACCTTAGGTGTATGTGGCTGGCGCCTTAGCCACTTGAGCCACAGGCGCCAAGCCTACTCTATATTTTTATAGCTAGTTGTCTATATGTAGTTTCTTTCTCTCTTTTCCTCTTTTTTGCTTTTCTCCTTTTGTTAACATACCAAAATTGAGAACAGGGATCTCCCCATAGTGAATATTCAACATTTTTTCTCCACTGACCAGGTGATTCACTTGTCTGAACATGGACCTTCTTCCTACCTCAGCCCTAGTCATGCGCCCTGAATTTACCTTCCTAGAAATTCGATCTGATGATTCAGTTTCACTTATAATTCTGTCAGATATATTTTAATTTTCTTTTCCTTTTTTTGAGGTAGAATCTCACTCTTTTCCCAGGCTAAAATACAGTGGCATTATCATAGCTCCCTGCAACTTTACATTCTTGGAGTCCTCCTGCCTTAACTTCCCAAGTAGGACTGCAGTCATGCACCATCACACTCAGCTAATTTTTCTGTTTTGGGGAGAGACAAGTTATTGCTATGTTGCTTAGACTGGTCTTAAACTCCTAAGCTTAAGTGATTCTCCCTGGGCATCCCAAAGCATTAGGATTACACAAGGCTGACCCTATGTATGTTTTCCTTTTGGCTTCTCCCATTCCCACATCCTTTTTTTTTTTTTTTTTTTTTTTTGAGACAGAGCCTCAAGCTGTCCCCCTGGGTAGAGTGCCGTGGCATTACAGCTCACAGCAACCTCCAACTCCTGGGCTCAAGCGAGTCTCCTGCCTCCGCCTCCCAAGTAGCTGGGACTACAGGCGCCCGCCACAACGCCCAGCTATTTTTTTTTTTGGTTGCAGCCGTCATTGTTGTTTGGCGGGTCCGGGCTGGGGATTCGAACCCGCCACCTTAGGTGTACGTGGCTGGCGCCTTAGCCGGTTGAGCTATAGGTGCCGAGCCCCCACATCCTTTTTTATATTTTAATGGTGATTACTGATGATACTTGTATTTGCATTTGCTATTCTTTTATTTAGTCAAGTCAATAATATCTCACATATTCTCACTTCATCCTATTGGTAGGGAAAAAAAAAGGGCACAATGGTATGGAAAATTGAACAATTTTCTCAAAAGCACAGATTAAATCAGTGACATAACTAGGATAAAAACTACACTCTCGGCTCGGTGCCTGTGGCTCAAGTGGTTAAGGCGTCAGCCACATATACCTGAGCTGGTGGGTTCAAATCCAGCCTGGGTCCTCCAAACAACAATGACGGCTACAGCTAACAACAACAAAAAAAAAAACAGCTGGGCGTTGTGGGTGCCTGTAGTCCCAGCTACTTAGAAGGCAGAGGCAGGAGAATCGCTTGAACCCAGGAGTTGGAGGTTGCTGCGAGTTGTGATGCCACAGCACTCTAACCAGGGCAACAGCTTGAGGCTCTGTCTCAAACCACCCCCCCCAAAACAAAAAAACTACAGTCTCTTGATTTACAATCTTGTGGGATTTTTTTCCTGAAACAAGGTCTTGATTTGCCACCCAGGCTTGAGTGCAGTGGCCTCATCATTGCTCCCTGCAACCTTGAATTTCTAGGCTCAAGTGATCCTCTTGTCTCAGTCTCCTGAATAATTTAGTCTAAAGGGGCATACCACCACATGTAGCAAATTTGCTATTCTTTGTAGAGGTGGGGTCTCACTCTTACTCAGTTTGGTCTTAAACTCCTGGTCTCAAGTAATCCTCCCACGTTGGCCTCCCAAAATTCTAGGATTACAGGCATGAGTCACCATACCTGGCCACAATCCCGTGTACTTTTTATTAATTTTTACCATTATTCTGAACTAACATTTTTTAGCATTTATAGTTTTTAGGATGTCAAAGCATTCCAAAATGAAATCTAGTAAAATTTCTCAAATATGATTGAAAATTTCTCTGAACAATAGGATTAGTGCTATCATTTGTAATAAGTATTAGAATGAAAACTAATTCTTTCTTATGGTAGAACTTTAATGTTCAGTATGGCTAATTAGAAATAGAAAAGCATGGCTCGGCGCCTATAGCTCAACCGGCTAAGGCACCAGCCACGTACACCTAAGG